CTTGAATAAAAAACCCGTTGCTTGGACCCCATACTCGAAATGCGTCTTCATAAAAGTCGAGTATAATACTCCAAATATTTTTCATCCAAACAATAAAATAACTTAACAGCACAGAAGACCCTAAAGGATTCAGAAGCGGCAGTCTTGCAGTTACTCGTATTTCTGAGGTCGTTGCTTATTGCGACCCCTTTATCTTAATAGCCCATTAATTTGGGTAACAACGCATATTGTTTAATTGCATGAATCGTCGCAGTTATTGATTTGCATCACTACAATCTATTTAGAGTTGAATTATGACCCTTATTTGGTCCTAGTTATTAGGTGGATACTCTCAATGTGAGTTTAGCGTCGTTCAAAGGTCGTGCATAAATTATAGTCTCATCGAAATGTTTCTTATGCATTGATAACCCAGTATTTATTTGGAAAATGTTAAAAATAATATGCGAGACATGCCAGTGGGGAATGCTATAAACTTTAAGTAACTACAGTACAAAAGTCAAATCTTTATTCTGGAAGATCTCACGTACATGTACCAATCGGTAAGACTGTACAACTTTGACGAACGCTAAACTTTAAATACCCACACATGCTGGGAATTCAAAAGTCCGCCTTACTAGTACAAGTTTCAGAATCACATTAAGACTAATTATGTTAATTTGAATATTGTGATAAAACTTTTATCCAGTATTATATCTCCATTGTTGCAGGCGTATGAGGTTGTACTGCACAGATGATAAGGAATCAGTTTAGGAAAGTTACATTAGTGCTCTCCACGTGCAAGCAGGAATATTGCAAGTGGAGACACTGTAATCTGTTTTAAACCAATATCAAAGCATCTAAGTAAACTCCAATTAGCTTGCGATAACTTCAGAGCTTCAAAGTATTTGTAATCAAGAATAGCTAACGTTAACATTCATGGTAATAAGTCCAGTAATAATGGTATATAGATGAAAAACAAGCAAAATAGTATCAATGTTCTTGAATTCAGCATTTAGTCGTATCCTAAAGGTTAACACATTGTACGTATTAGCGCAAAAATTGGCCATCAGCCCACATGGTTAGTTATCCACCAAATATTACGGTCTAGAAAGTCCATCATCAACATAGTTGATCTGTGTCGTTGACTGGGACCAATTTGAGTTGGATGGAAATGGCGTGACCAACCGGATCATGTCAAAATCACACTCCGTGGTTTGTGCATAATGTTTGCTACCCTTTCGCCGTATCAATTTCTCCGCGCTCATCATTTCTGACATTTCCTAGATATTTAATGTTGGGTTTAAATCTTCCCATTTTATGTATGTTCGGCATCAATGATCGTGTAGTTGATATCCAACATATTTTCGAAACTGTCTGATTAGTTAAACACCTAGCCTTCGCTTATTGAGATTTTAAAATCAATAAGCACCTATACCACTTAATATCCTAGCATTTCCTCTGTCATTTCAGATTGATGCCACGATGTTATGCTTCACAAAACTGTATTTAGTTTCTTTTATTTAACTGTAGTTTCTTTGCGGTGGTTTATTCTACTGGCAGTAATTAGCTGTAGTTTTGCCGACTAAGAAAAATAATTCGATTGGTTCCAACTTGAACAGCTCGGCTTGTCCTGGCTAGCCGTTTCCCCAGTTGACTTTTGACAGCATTATGTACGTAACATCTGAGTGTGGGGCTGTAATTAAGGCTTGGACGACATATGAATTCGCAAAACTCGCAAGTTGAAAAACGCACATTTTGGTACATTACATAACAATTAGTTACAAGTGTTCTCTATAAACTTAACTAAAATAATAACAATAATAATTCATTTTCAAACAACAGTTTGTTACATAAGGCATATCAGTTTACAGGCAAGATCAACTTGATACTAAAGATACAATTTTCACTGTAGTAAATTACTCAGCTGTGTTGATATTTTATAAGATTTGAATGTAGATGGTTTTAGTAAGAATCGTATTGTCAGCATCACAGTTGGCCCGCCTTATAAAGGTTATCTTTCGACGTGCAACCGATGGTCGAAAGCAGATCCATGTGAAGTTGAGGGCTTCTAGAACCCGCAACCTTATATCCCTCCGGATTATCTGAGGCTTTCATGATGATGTTATATCCCAAGGGGGCTGAAAAAGAGTGAGAGAAAAAGAAAGAACGAGAAGCAGAGTAGACAAAGTTCATGAAGGGATAGTTAAAATATGACAACTTAGTCTAATTCTCATTTGTTAAGGTAATTATTAAGCAAGAGTGTTTTAATATGGTAAAGAAAATAAAAGTAAATAATGTATGAGTGGATAAACAAGTGACAGATGGAGGTGGTACAGAATGGATCTGAAAGTAGAGTAGTTATGAAACTGCTAGGTTTGAGGCTATCACGAGCTCACTTAATCTGCGAACGAGAAAAAAGACACCGTGACCAAAGACCAGTAAGCTAGCTATGGGTGCGTCCCAGCACCGCTGTATAAAGGGAGAAGTCCAAGCTTAAAATAGAAAGTATATTCTGCAACAGCCAGCAAACGAGTGATCATAACAAACACAATTTAAAAAATATATATATATATACAAATATATATAATCGATATCTCTATGGAGCTTTAAAACATTTAATCGATAATTTCGTCAATCGACTATGTGCGTGGGTGGTAGGAAATGCCCACGCATACATCTGCATACAAGCTCCACAAAGACAAAATTACAAAATATGAGTTTTGGGGATCTATTGTCCCCAACAAAAACATAGTTCTGAATACAGTTTTCTGATACATAAATGGCTATCTCTCTCTTTTTTGAAGCTATTTGAACCCATTTTTCGCGGATTTTATAGGGTCTTTAGCAGACTTCATTTTTAGCTAATTGTCTAACTTGCTTGTAATAGGATTATTCAGTAGGAAGTGAGACCAATTCAGCGTTCTAAACACAGTTTAATGAGTTATTTTGCATAATACATTAGTATAAATACCAGTGGTCCGTGACATTCAACTAGACCATAACGAGCCGTATTTATACAATATGTTCTGCCCTAAAAACACGGGTGGATTGAAGTTTTCTCCTCACCATTATGTTTGCTGGTTGGTAACGCTACTTTTCCTCCTTTTGTGATGGTAAGTTATCTTAAGTTTGCGGTTAGCATGAATATTGCTTTAATTAAAGCCCTCAGTTAAAAAACACTGTCTCTACTAGTTCCATAATGCATGCAAATCAGATAAGTAAAGCATTTGTATTATGGGTTAGACAGTCATTTAGTATATCATACTGCTATGGAGATAACTAATGGTAAAAATTTAAAAACACAGACCGGATTATTATTCTAATAGATGTGTCATGTATCCCGTTGACTTCTGCTTTATCAACGGATGGATGTGATCTTGTATTTGTAGATTACATTTTAATTTTACGAACAATAATATAATCATTTTAGTTTCACTTTAGATCGATTACTTCCAAGGTCAACACCAAACTCTCTAAACAAACGGGGTATGAACTCAATAAAAAATTTCCCTTTATCACATATTACACAAATACTGAAACACTATCAGCTTTACAAATCACTTCTATCAAGAAACCGGTTTTTCGCAGTGATATTTCTTCTGAGTGTTAGCGCACACCGACTGAATGACTACCTTTGTTTGTGGTTTCTGCATTTTATCCTTCTGAAATAATTTGAAAGCTTGTAGTTGAATCTAGGTTGTGTGGTAGCATTCTGTTATTTCTTAACTCATCTGCCAGAACTCTAGCCTGATGTTTAGCTCAGTGAAGTAGTTTTTCAGACTTGGAGCTGTCTACGCAATGAAGAAGTACTGAAGCGTTGGTGAGTTTGCTTTGTTGAACCATAGACGTGCTTCTTAATTACGCTTATCAAGTATCAGGAACCGACTGAGTCTTGATTTGGAAATTTGCGTACTCGAAACAATTTTGTTAGCTTGAAAATTTCTGGTTGGAGTATGGAAAAGTCTCCGAATCTATCGTTCCGTATGTGGATAAGAATTGAAAGTTATGAGATTCTCACAGTGACAGTCGTGTTACAATATTTGAGGCGAAATTCACGGCCAAACCACAGGGAAAAAGGTAGATCTCCATGGCTTTGGGAGAGCATGTTTGTAAATCTGATAAAAGCGTGACAACGAGAGTAGAGTCGGCGGTTTATTGCGAGTCAACACGGGAAAACTTATCGACGCCGAACAGTGATAAATGGTGGATTAGGACTTACTACTTGATTAAAAAATAATGGTTCTCATCGGATCTAATTTGGTGTGGCCATTTGTTTGGTAATTTTTTTACTGAACTAGGTTTTAACTAGCTAGGTAGTAGATTTTTCCTCCGGTTTCGTCCAGAGAGCGATCTATATTTCTTCTTCATGTAGTTACCAAGCATCCTTGTGAGGTGCCAGTTTTTTCGTGAAAAGCCTCATGAAGATGAGAAATATATGTGTCAAATGTCGATTGTACGGGTTGTTGGGATAATTAGCTTAGTGTCTTCATAGTGACTCTACCGCTTAATTTCGAGAAGTGAAATCCGAGACAAGAAATGTACAAGCAAACTTGAGGGACCATTTATAAAATCAATCTAATAATGTATGAAACCTTTTGAGCTCCGAGCAAGCATTAAGCTCATGTGAACTAACCACTATTGGTGTATGTTAAACTTTCAATGACGTTCTATGGCATTAGAAAAGTGATTGTTTGCTACCAATAACACAATTCTTATGACCACTTCACAGTATTGGGATTCATCACCCTCATTTGAGACGGGACACAATAGAGTCCTCACGAAAGTTCATGATATAGATGGAGCCTTCTGTAGAAGGCTCAGCATTAACGTTAGTTCTATAGACCTCGTAGGAGATTACCTTTTGTTATCTATAATGATCTACCGTCCTATTATAAACCTAATTTTCCCTTCATACTCAGAAAAATAAATCGCAACATTCAGTTGTATATGAGGTCTGCCTCCTACCAACCAAACACAGTTCAATGAATGAACAGCCACGTGATTCGACCAAGACAACTTGAATTTGGACTTCTGACACATTACGCGGTATAGTTGGATGCATGCGTTACAACGTGATTCTCTTTCTCCTGTTTGCAAGTTCCAATGCTTTTCCGTTTGTCGCGCTTGTACCGTTCTCAGTAGCAATAACCGGAGTGATATACAAGTATCGTTTAAACTGTCTCTTATATGAATGCTGTTCTTCAGCCGTCCACTTCAACAAGACAAGTAGGTTTCCAAAATTTCATTTCCAGGCTTGGAACGATCACTTTCGGATGAATTACATGGTCAGCATATCGCAGCTGAGCGTGTGTATCATCATTTAGTCGATCATATTTCCGGTGGTTCGCCACAAAAGCCCCTGGCATTGTCATTCCATGGCTACACTGGTGTTGGGAAGAATTTTGTCTCAAATATTATCGCGAATAACGTCTTAAAATTGGGAACACGGAGTCGGTTTTACCATTTCTATGATGCGACAATACACTTCAAACATGCCTCTCGTATTTCGGAGTACAAAGTTAGTTTACAGATGTTATCAATCATTTATTGTTAATTGACATCTTAATAAATATTAGATACTCTATATCAGCCAGTTATTCTTTATTTGTACTTTGGTGTTCAACTTCAATATCCTTAATAAATTTTCGCTCGGCCAATCATAACTTTCCTTCTGAAATTGGCCACCAACGAGAGTGCACCGCTAAAACCTTTCAAAAAAACCTAATACTTTTTATTATTTTTATGAGTTTATTATCTCCATATACTCTGAAAATCAAAACCTTTATATCGCTGACGTATGCTCTTTTGTCCCCTGTTGTGTTTATTTATCTGCTTATTCGAACGCAAACAAGTCGATACAAGGTATCAAATATATATGTGCCACACAAATCGTTCGATATGTGTATTTATTTATTTCAACACATAAATGTTTTTACAAGGAGGCACCAAATATATATGTGTGAGGACTGGGATAATTCCCGGGTGCCCAAACCGGAGCATGTGATTTTCTTAGGGGGCCACTCCCCGAGCCTTCCACCCAAAGGTTTAATCCACAAGGCAGTGGGTCAGCTTAAGGAGATACAGCCCCATAATAGCCGGCGACCTACAATAGGTTTATATGCCATTTGTTTCCTTATGATCCTGGAGCCCATGTGCACCATTGGTTAGGAATCAGGGTTTTCCAACTCCTCTAGGTGGATCTTCCGTAGCCACCAACCGAGTTAAAGAGCCGGACATTCGCTTTTCGTCCTCTCGATTTCGTAAACAATAATGCCGCGAGAAGGTAGTGAGTAGGACTTCCCTGGTAGTGGTATGCACGTGGCCATGTGAGTGCATTTCTAGAGGGAGAGCTGACTCCCTCTACTCTCGGCCGTACCATGGCATTCGGGGTCACTTCTGTCCGTATTCATTCTAGATTCCTGTTTAGTTTGTGGTATATCCTCATTGTCTTCGGCGTCGTTTTGCATCACTTCTTGGACATTGACTATTTGATGACAGGAAACATATCCGTTAGTTATTACTTATGTGTGGAATCCCAGGACAAGTAACTGCAATTTTTTGATAACCTCACTGTTATATGCATGTATCACCAAGTTCTTATTATGTTGAATTTGTTTTAACTAGATTTAAAGTGTGAAAAATTCACGGAAGTTTATGATTTTCGAGTTGTATAGTATGATTAGCGATCTTCACTCAAACCAAGAGAGTACCTCAAGTTTACACTCAAAACTTTTTCTTTTATGTATCACTTGCGTCTTAAATTGCTTGTTGTGCTACAAAAGTCATTCCACCCAATTATTGATTTGTATTTTGATTGTTCAGCGTTCTATTTTTTGTGTTGCATGATTTTTTGTTAACATGAGATATAGTACTCATGTAGACAGTTTTTCTACAAGAACGGTTGAGTTTGCCATCTTATGTACAGGTCTTAGTTACTTATTCAACCCTGGAAGTTGTCATAAGGGTAAGAATAATTGGGTTTTAGTAGGCATATAGTTTCATGAGTGTAAAATTCAGTATCACCATTCTGATTAACAAATATCCCGTAATTTTTCGTTTTTAGGAACGCCTTTATCGAGATCTACATACAGCTGTTTCCGAGTGCGCTACATCAATATTCGTTTTTGATGAAATGCACAACATGCCCCATGGAATATTGGATATATTGTCACCTTTACTAGAGGTCCGTGAAACGGTTGAAGGTGTAGATTTTAGAAAGTCAATATTCATCTTTTTGAGGTATGTGAAAATGTATGCGTTGAAACGTTTTCAGTATACCTCTATAATTCTCGATCAGTGCTATCGAAGTGAAGTCATATAACATACAACTTCAACGTAATATAGATTTAGTAAATATTTTTGTGTAAAATTAGGGTTATGTCAGGTTAATGGTAATTAAATAAGGACATGGAACCAGTTCATGGCGTATTTACTGTTCATTTAATCAATTTAAGGGATGTAAATTTACTAGTTAGGGTTAATTAACTCTCAAGAATCTGTTTTTTTAGTTTCTTAGGTGCACTTTGTATAATATTTAACGTCGTCATTAGATGCTTAGTTTTGTGAAGTTCACATTGTGGAGTCACTTTTCTAATGTGGTCAACCAAATCAGTTTTAATTCAATCACTCACTGAAATTTATTGATTCATGTATTAATACATATGTTATCTCAAATGATGTTCATGTCTAATGTTTTGTACGTGTTTAAATTTGTTTTTCCCATTAAATTAGTAATGCTGGTGGTAATTATATCAATAGGCGTACGTATGAGCATTTAGTTGGCGGGAAGAAGCGAGAAGATCTGCGTTATACAGATGTCGATCGTTTTTTAGCCAAATCAGCATTTAATAATGAAGGTGATTATTACTTTTGTTTGATTTTCTTTGTTCAAATTGGCGGCTTTATAATATTTCAATGTTCGATGCTTAGATACTTTCAGTAGGAAGCTTGTTAACTATGATCCAGTAAGGCTTATTTACATCCTCAAGGTAATGAATAATACTTTAGATGTCTGTACTATCATCACTCAGAGCTACAGTTAGAGTCTAGTTGGTCCGTCATCTAAAGACCATCACTGAACTATTCATGCCTCTTGAATCCTCTCACCACTGAAAAACACCACATTGCTCACTAATCAGTCTGATGATGTCACACCAAGATATTTATAACAAAGCATTGAGAATACTAAAGTTTCGTTAATGTTTTTAATAGTAAACTTATTGTAACCTGGATGCAATCAAGGATGACCTTTGCCACCAGTTAAATGATTTCAAAATTTCCTTCGACAAACATCGTATTACTAGCTGGAAATTCGAATGCACAGTTCGAGGGGCTGTGCTTGGGGAAGAGTCTTCACAGTGGTCAATGGGGACTCTTTTGTCGGATAACAATTACCGTTTCCTGCAGCTCTACACAGACTGCAACCTGTTTCTGGTCAGCACTATTGACACAGTCATCGCCAATGTACTACCTCGCGCACACTCTACAACTCGGGCCCTGAGGTAAGATTGGTCATATCGAGATCAACTACGGCTAGCATGACTGTGCACAAGACTGTGGCTCCTTTTAGAGTTCTTATCTAGGCTGTTATCATGCCCTTGTTTGCGCTAATCTTATCTTACATCCCAGTGACCAACAAATTCATCATCCTGAACGAATCCATATGAGCAAATTGGATGCAGCTTCCGTTACAACTAAATATCAAATCAAGCTGGGTTCAAGTCTAAATCCCAACACATCAAAAAGTATAAATGAGCACTGGTTGCATTTTTATGACTTGAAAATGTCAGGTAAAGTCTCTTGCGGCTTTGCAAGGCCTCCCGTTCGTAGGCACTGGGTTTCTCCAGGCTCCTTAAAACTCGTCAAGCATGTCAATCTACTTCGACCAACCGTGCGTTTGACGACAAACATAGATTGTTAAGTAAGAATGTTTTGCAAAGTTTGCTTAAAAACCGAGGTCTGTGTTAGTCTTTAAAAAGGGTTTACGTCACCTATGCAAAAACTATTGAGGGATAAATCAACTTCCAATGGCGTCCAAACTGTTAGTTTCCGCCATACTTCCCAACCCGCGGGAGATCGGCTCACGAGGACCGGGCTGGTTTTCGTCTTGGTCGAGGATGTATTGACCATATTTCCGCCCTCCACCAAATGTTAGCATACCACAATGTTTATAACAGACCAGCAATCGTAATGTTTCTTGAAATCAGAGCCATATTGAACAAGACTTTTTTTCATAAATTCAATCCTGTACTTCAGAATGGAAGGCGTTTCAACGAATCTGCGCCAATTTATGATTTGAATATTTCCATACGTCTATCAAATAACTTTTCTTGAAAGTTTCATCAGCTTCTGAGCAAGATCTTAGCACGAGTACAGAAAGCTTGTTCTCCTTTTTACAACGTGCACCACCTGTTACCCTTGTCTGGAAATGAATTGCCAGCATACTATGCGAGAGTTCTCTCTGTACTGCTTTGCAGCTGGAAAATATGACCTACAGTATCATACTTCATTTATAGTTTTCAAATAGTTGATCACAGATATCCCCAGAATACTCTCAATTCATGGTGGCCCCAATAAGTCATTAATACTAGGTTAACCCTAGAGTTCTAGATAAAAATACCAGATCACTTAATGATGTTGTAAATCTCAATTAATCTTATTGTAACATAAATAATACATCATCAGCCTACCAGTTGAAAACGTAGTTTTCTAAACGTATGATGAAGTCTACTTCCAACATATATTATAATTTTTTGAATTTGATAATAACTTGTTATTGTTACTATCTTAATCATGTTATCCCGTACATCTATTTCGAACAGCTAGGATACAATTCATTAAAAGGAATATTTGTATGGGCTCGGTTTTCAATAGATCAAGAGTTTGTTAAACAATATCAGGTAATCAAAAGTGTAGAAGTCATCGACTTAAGTACGATTAAGTATTTGCAGTAAAAATGTAATGATATGTAAGATAAATTCGTACTTACTTGTTATGAAATAAAGTATTTGATTAGAGTTTAAAATTAAACAATTTTATATAAGGTCAACTAATTACATTCTAGGCTATTATTTACATCTTATTTGAATGGATTCGCAATACGTGAAGGGCAAGAAGGGCGCAAGCATTTTAGTAGTGAATGGTTACACTTCTAAAAAAGAATAAAATTAGCAACAAAAATGTGTAGATGTACGGAATATCGTATCGTGAAGTGTAGGTGGCGCTGTAATTCGATGAATTTATTATTTATCACAATTCCGATCACCTGGAATAGTCTCACAGACCCCATACAAATATTCCTTTTAATGAATTGTATCCTAGCTGTTCGAAATAGATGTACGGGATAACATGATTAAGATAGTAACAATAACAATTTATTATCAAATTCAAAAAATTACAACATATGTTGGAAGTAGACTTCATCATACGTTTAGAAAACTACGTTTTCAACTTACTTACTTACGCCTGTTACTCCCAATGGAGCATAGGCCGCCGACCAGCATTTTCAACCCACTCTGTCCTGGGCCTTCTTTCCTAGTTCCATCCAATTCTTGTTCATTTTTCTCATATCTATCTCCATTTCTCGGCGTAATGTATTCTTTGGTCTTCCTCTCTTCCTTCAACCTTGAGGATTCCATGTGAGGGCTTGTCTTGTGACGCAGTTGGGTGTTTTCCTCAATGTGTGTCCTATCCACTTCCAGCGCTTCTTCCTGATCTCTTCCTCCACTGGGATCTGATTTGTTCTCTCCCACAGTAGGTTGTTGCTAGTAGTGTCCGGCCAGCGGATCTGAAGTATTTTGCGTAGACAACTGTTAATAAACACCTGTATCTTTTGGATGATGGATTTCGTAGTTTTCCAGGTTTCAGCCCCATACAGTAGAACTGTCTTGACATTTGTATTGAAAATTCTGACTTTGGTGTTGGTTGCCAATTGTTTTGAGTTCCAGATATTCTTCAGTTGTAAATATGCTGCTCTTGCTTTGCCAATCCGTGCCTTCACATCTGCATCGGATCCACCGTGTTCATCGATGATACTGCCCAAATATGTAAAGGTTTTTACATCTTCCAAAGCTTCTCCGTCAATTGTGATTGGATTGGTACATGCTGTGTTGTATCGAAGAATCTTGCTTTTCCCTTTGTGTATATTGAGACCTATTGCTGCTGAGGCTGCAGCTACACTTGTTGTCTTTTCCTGCATTTGTTTTTGCGTATGCGATAGGAGAGCCAGATCATCTGCGAAGTCTAGATCATCCAACTGCATCCTAGATGTCCATTGTATCCCGTGCTTTCCCCCTCCCAGATGTTAATGTCTTCATGATCCAGTCGATCACCAGAAGAAAGAGAAATGATGAGGGTAAGCAACCTTGCCTGACACCGGTCTTTACTTCGAACGACTTTGTCAACTGTCTCCCATGCACGTTTTCGCAGTTTAATCCATCTAGGAATTGTGTATGATATTGACTATCTTCTCAGACACGCCGTAATGTCGAAGAATCTTCCATAGTGTTGTTCTGTCCACGCTATCAAATGCTTTTTCGTAGTCAATGAAGTTGATATAGAGTTATGAATTCCATTCAATTGATTGTTCCACAATGATCCGTAGAGTTGCGATTTGGTCTGTGCACGATCTATCCTTACGGAATCCTGCCTGTTGGTCTCGAAGTTGGGCGTCTACGGAGTCCTTCATCCTGTTTAACAATACCCTATTGAAGAAGTTTCCTGGTATTGAAAGAAGAGTGATTCCCCTGTAGTTGTCACAGTTGCTGAGATTGCTTTTCTTTGGTATTTTGACTAGAAGTCCTTCTTTCCAGTCTTTTGGTACCTGTTCCTCATCCCAGATCTTTCTGAAGAGAGTTTGAAGTATCCTTGCAGTTTCCGCTACGTCTGCTTTCAGTGCCTCTGCTGGAATGCTGTCTAGTCCTGCTGCTTTGCCACTCTTGATTTGTCTGATAGCCATGCTGATTTCTTCAATTGTCGGTGCGCCAACATCAATTGGGAGGTCCGTGAGTGCTGCTTCGATGTTGGGTGGGTTCAGTGGGGCTGGTCGATTCAAGAGTTCTTTGAAGTGTTGTACCCACCTGTTTCGTTGTTCTTCAATGTTGGTGATTATCTTGCCTTCCTTGTTTTTCACTGGTCGTTCTGGTTTACGGTGATTTCCAGAGAGTTTGTTTGTTGTGTCATACAGTTGTCTCATGTTTCCTTCTCTTGCAGCCTTTTCCGCCGTCATTGTTAAATCTTCCACATATTTACGTTTGTCAGTTCTGATGCTCCTTTTCACTTGCTTGTTTACTTCTGTGTATTCAGCCTGTGCCTTGACTTTTTCTGCTCTTGTTCGACTGGTATTGATTGCTGCTTTCTTGTTCCTTCTTTCTTGAATCTTATACAGTGTATCGACCGTGATCCAATCCTTGTGATGGTGCTTCTTTTGGCCCAGAACCTCATGACATGTTGAAGTGATTGCCTCTTTTATCTCTTTCCAGTTGCTCTCCATAGTAGTTCCTTCTCCATTGAGTAGATCATGAAAGGCTTGGAACTTATTACTGAGGGTTATCTTGAATTTATTGAGTTTGTCAGTATCCCGAAGAAGAGCCATATTAAATTTTTGTGATATTGTCCTCCCCGTTGTCCAGTGCCTCTTGAGTTTCAATTTCATCTTGGCGACCAGCAAGTGATGATCTGATGCTATATCAGCTCCTCTCTTTGTTCTCACGTCCTCCTGAACTTTTTGTTGATGCAGATATGGTCGATTTGGTTCTGTGTGGTGTGATCCGGTGAAGTCCATGTGGTTTTGTGTATGCGTTTATGTGGGAATATAGTGCCGCCTATGACCAGTTTATTGAAGGCACATAGATTCGCAAATCTCTCACCATTTTCGTTCCTTTCTCCTAGTCCGTGTCATCCCATGATCTCTTCATATCCGGTGTTGTCAATTCCAACCTTGGCATTTAGGTCTCCCATCAGAATAGTCAGGTCATTTGTTGGGCACTTCTCGACGATTGACTGCAGCCTATCGTAGAATTGATCTTTAGCGTCTTCATTGTAGTCGTTGGTAGGCGCGTAGCATCGGATAACGTTCATTGTAATCCCCGTTTTCTTTGTTTTGAAGAAAGCTTTGATGATCCTTGGTCCATGAGATTCCTATCACATAAGTGCATTTTGTGCTTATTTGGACAGCATCAATGCAACTCCTTGTATATGTGGGGCATTTTCTTGTTCATGTCCGGAGTATAACAGCAGCTCCCCTGAAGCTAGTCGTTGTTGTCCAACTTGCGTCCAATGTGTTTCACTGATCCCAAGCACCTCTAAATTGTATCTCCTCATTTCTGCAGCAATTTGGAAAACTCTCCCAGTCTCCCACATTGTGCGAGCATTCCATGTACCTAAATAAATGGTTGCTCTGGTTGTCAGAAGGGGCATCGGCTTCGTGACTTCCTAAGGTACTCGGCTTTCATCATGCGGCGTCATAACTCTTCTAAATGAAGACTTTCTGACACCCAGGGCAGAGTTTAAATGGTTTGAATAATTTTTTCTGGTTAGCGATTTTTTAGCGAGTTAGTTTTCTACGGGATGGGGTCGCTAACCCCATGCCCAACCCTCCTCCTTTATCCGGGCTTGGGACCGGCAGTAGCACCCCGAAAGGGACTCCAGGCGGAGTTACGTTTTCAACTAGTCGTAAGGTAAAGGGACAGAGGTTAAATTGAACGTATTTCCCACCATTAAAAATGTTGTTCCTCTTTTCAATGGTCACCTTTATTAATATGTAGCATTTTGATAGTCCCGTTTATTACCGATGGATGACGGGGAAATAAGAAATTACAAGATGACCTGGGTTCGAGTCCTGCATGCGGGATCACGAATGTGAACCTTTGAGAAGTCCCATACTTGGCCGGAACAACCATCCAGGTTTTCCAGGGTGATCTAGCTTAAATTGACTCATGAATTCAACTATTAATTTACTGAAGATAACCTATGATCCGTTCCTTTTTGGTAAACATATTCTGATCGAGGTTTACGGATTTGTTACAATCTCTGTTTGGCAATGTTGAGTAACATGACCCAACATTGGTCATGGTTGGATTCTTTCTTTATCTTTCCTTAAATCTCAAGTTGTGTTATTTCTCCTAATTAGAGTTAGTACTGTTTCGCTGTCCTGATAAAAGTTGTACGAACTTGAACCAACATGCATACTTATCCATGACTCATTGTGATTTTAACCATATTTATTCCATTTAGTAATCGTTCTGATTGCATGCCACAATAATTAATATATATAATTGATATATACAAGAGGCTTTTTTATAGAACTCTTATGTTAAAAGCAAAATTAAATTCAAGGAAATTTAGTCGATTTTTCTAAAGACAAATACTAAATCCTTACTGATAGGCAGGAAAATTAGACATCAGCCCATGGGTAAGTGGCTAGTAAGGTGATTTGGGGGGATTCACGCTATTGGTTGGTAATTTGGCCTGATTTTCTGTGGAATACATATCTATGTAAACGAATGAGTTTATGCATAAATTTCAAATTATGTTGTCAGTATATAGCTTTCCATTCACTCTTGGTTTTCTTTCATTTAAATAATTGATTAGGTTCTTGTTTAGGAGGGGATGTATACCAGTACCAGATTCAGATTTATTTGTTATCAGTGTAAAAAAAATCCAATCTGCACTTAACAAAACTGCATTGGGAAATTATGAGACATAAATCAAATTCATTAATCTGTTGAACAATACATCAACTGTATTTAATTTTTAGTTACCTATCTTTCTTAACTTGACTTTCATTTTTCCATGGAATAATTAACTACATAGAATTTTGATGTAGTGTATTTCTGTTCCGTTTTTGCTAATGAAGCAACATTTTAGTTCTTGAAGATGAGCGGTGATTTGTGTGATTGTAAAGTATTCAGCTTTCAACCATTGAGCTTCACGTTCAAAACTCCCAGCCCTTTACCTCATTTCAGATAACCGATTAGTTGTCATATAAGAAAATCCCTGTGGCTTAAAGCTGAGTGCATTTGATCATTAAAGTTCGTTAATTAATTGAAGAGGGGAAAATGTCATTTCAATGGTAAAATTAAACTAGTTATTCCTTGATACCATAAGTTCCAAACGATGGGAATTTTACAGTTGAACTGTAAGAGTGAATTCTTTTTTATTTCTGTTTTTATTTAATTAAATCATAAATTAATCTTAATCAAAATAATTGACTGATTATTTGGATTTTTAAGACCACTTGTTGTGTACAAGAAAACAAGTGGGGACAACCAAACGTATTTGAACACAAAATTACAGAATGTCTTAGTAAAATCTGAAAACCATACAGCAAGTTATTTAATTGGAAAATGTCAATCAGTCGTCTCAGACTTGATTGTTCTTTCGTTCCCACACCCATCATTCCTTGCTCTCGTTCTCTTTACTTTGATCTCAATCTTCTGCCTCCAGGTATTTTACTTTCAATTGACGATACGTACTACTTATTTCGCCCCCAAATGCCCTGGTATGGCCGAGAGTGGGGGGAGTCCGCTCCTCCTCTCGAAATGCTCTCACATGGCCACGCGTATACAGCCCCTGCCAGGGAAGTCCTACTCACTGCCTTCTCGTGGCGGGGGTGTTGTTTACGAAAATGAGAGGACGAAAAGCGAATGTCCTGCGCTATAACCGGATCCCAAATCAATGGTGCACATGGGTTCCAGTATCCTGAAGGAACAAATGGCGTATGAACCAATCGTTGGTCACCGGCTACCATGGGACTGCATCTCCTCACGATGCTCCACTGCCTTGTGGGTCAGATCTTCAGGTCAAAGGCTCGGGGTGTTGCCCCCTAAGAAAACCACCTGCTTCGGTTTGGGCACCCGAGCAGTATCACAGCCCTCACACATATCAAATGAAATCTGTGTGGCGCATATGTATTTGGTGCCTTCTTGTACCGATATCTATGTGTTAAAATAAATAAATAAAAAACTACTTATGTCTGTCGAAATCAGAAGCACATACTAATCGTTATTCGCGGAAATTTCAACTGAATGAGAAAATTCATTGTTTTTTTTAAAAATAATACCGGATATAAAAATGGTTGCATTCACTTCAAAAAAATTTCTCTCAAGACAGAATGTTTTAAAATAAACTTGTAATGATTGAGTGTTGTGTATAGCTAGACACTGACAAAAACTGTTGTTAGTTCCATTTACTTTGTATGATGATTGTGGTCGTGTTGCTTTACGACAAAGTGATGATAAATTATCGTTGATATTTATATTTATGTAATGTGTTTTGTTTTTCCTTTGTTATCATAGGTGGCCTTCAGTACTCTGAGCTAATTACTAAACATCTGATTACAGCTGTTATTCCCTTCTTACCATTACAGCCGACTCATGTTAGAAAATGTGTTCAAGATGCTGCTAAGCGACGTAATGTCACATTTTCTGAAGATATGGTTCAATTTGTACTGGATGAACTTGAATGGTCACCGGAAGGGAGCAAGTTCTTCTCTGTTTCAGGTTGTAAAAGAGTCTATGAAAAAGTTGGATTTTATCTACAACAATTGTAACATTCGTCATTTCTTTAGAATTATCATTTTCTTGTCTATCAACTTTAAAAATCACTATTTTGTACATAAGATTATACTGCGTACCATCTACTAAGTATTTTTCCATTGTCCACATTTTTTGAAATGATCGTCTACTAATATATGCAATTTATTAGTTTGTCGAAATTATCTTAATGTTTTTTTGCCAGTCCTAGTAATTCTAAATTCAAATTGAATTTATGCATTTCTCTTCATCAGGTTTCTCTTTTTTTCTTCATGTAATATTTTAAATATAAACAAAGGATTTGGTTTGTTGTCTTTATTATTCATGTTAATAATTTTAAGGGTGATCAGCATTTTATTTCAGTATTCTTTTAGTGTTTATGATAATGGTGAATTTGAGTATTGATAATCATGTGAGTGATTACATGGGATATTATAAAAACTAACATGTGAATATCTTCGAGATTAAACAGTTGAATTTAAATATGGCAATGAGTAAAAAATGTACAAAATACTATTACATTGTCATCAGAAATCCAGAAAGCCTGAGAAAAATGATAGTACAAATATAATAACCTGTCTAAGTGCATGTTCGGTTTCACTTGCTTGTTAGCTTACTGATTTAGATCAACAGTGATTTCGATTTCAATTTATTTATCAAACGTTGAATGATTTTAAGACGTAAATATTATGTTGACGATCACCTATGAAATAAACAGTTGGATTATCAACATTTTCTACTAGAACTATATACAGAAACAGTATATCGTATTAAAATTGTTTGTGTTCCTAAATGTTCGACAACAAACCCCGAAGCAGATTAAATCCATATACATAGTTTATATTCCTAAGAGTGGTCCGACGCAAATGTATACACGAGTTTGTAGTTTCCAGTATCAAGGCTCGACTTGATAAGTTCAAATAGATTCAGCCTTGGATAGATGATGATCAAAATAACGTGTAGTGTCTGTCATTATGTTAAACCCCAATACCTTATTATTCTAACTTTCGGACAGCTCATTCTATTTGAGTCACATTCTGACCTTGTTAATTATTCGCTTATCAATGTCTTGACTGTCTTTGTATGAGCGCGTAGGTGTATGCACACTTCTTATCCCGTTGCTCATCACATGTCTGTAATTATTTTTTTGAGTTTTGAATGCATATATTTTGTATAATTGTTGATTAGACAAACGAACGGAGGAACTATGCGAAGATTAGAAAGCGAAGCTAAATTGGCGCGCGGTGGAGATGGCTGGTAAGCCAACTCTCCTTTAACAAAGAGTTAATCAATATTTATAAGCCCACAAAAATAAATTACAGACATGTGATGAGTAACGGGATAAGAAGTGTGCATACGCCTACGCGCTCATACAAAGACAGTCAAGACATTGATAAGCGAATAATTAACAAGGTCAGAATGTGACTCAAATAGAATGAGCTGTCCGAAAGTTAGAATAATAAGGTATTTGGGCTTAACATAATGACAGACACTACAAACGATATTTCGTAATATCCCAATGAATAGAGACAGGTTTATGATGTTTCATGACTTAGTGCAGATCACTTCGTCAGCGGATAAATAAGTCATAACATGTGAAACTTAATTTTCTATTCAATGAAATATTACAAACACATTATTTTTATTACTCAATTTACTTGACATTTAGTACATTACTAACTCAATGCTTATTAAGAGTTTGAGAATAAAACGAGATCATAATAAGTCCGGAAGGTCTATCGTAACCGTTTGATTTAAAAACACGATGCCTAATTACTTATCTGAAGTTGGATATTCATGTGACAACCTTTTCTATCCTTGGTCGGTGAAATTAGTTACCCTGGTTTCATGTACATGTCTACAATAATGTTGATTCGTACATGGTCGTGTAAACTTGAATTTTGTCGATATCACGAACCCACCGAGATTGAACAATCATTGGGAACATGGATGCACTGGAAGGCCGTTTCGCCCTGGTGTGAGGTCCCCTACAATTGGAAATCAATCTTGCGAACGGTTACACCTCAGACCAATGAAATAGTGTCCAATGGTGTGTGTTTCTAACTTTAATCAGTCTATGATATTGCGCGACCATTCCCCATAGTCTTCGGCGCGTAATTTCCTAACACCCAACACGGCTTTTTGCGCAATCTACGCACTTTGTAGACGTGGCTGCGTTGATGTGGTAAAGATTTCATATACTTATTTGGTTCTTTTCTAACTGACAGCAAATTCTTGGCAAGGACGTATCTGAGGCAGTGAATTACTTCAAACAATAGGAATTCAACAATAATGATTTGGTATTACTGTGGTGTTGTTATGAAATGATTTCTTTGTACTTGATGACTACCTGATTTCGAAATCCAAATGCGATACGTTCGTTCGTGCTCATCTAGCACTTCTTGGTTGAGTTGCGTTATTTCTGGGATTCCCAGTTTGTATCATAATCGAAATATTCCTAATCAGCATACTGGCGTCGCGATGGAGCCTGTGATGGAACAGTTAGACATTCATTCAACTTCTGAGTATTTTGAGGATTATTAAGAAAGGTTTGTAATCTGGAGCATTTCTTAGAAAGATGTGAAGGCTGATAAAATCGTGGCACATTTCCTTGTATTCAACGGAAAAGCCTACAGTTTGTTAGAAACTTTGACATAACCGGAGAAGCCTATCTCATTATTAGGGAACTACTATTAAATCATGTAAAGTGCACCAGTTTTGAATGTCGTGAGAGAGCGAAATTTCATTAGATGATTCGTTAGAATAGCCAGAAATTTGGGGAATTCATCCTTGAATTAAAAGCGAGCTGCCAGATGCGATTTCGGTGATGAACTTCAAATGCAGCTGAGGGATCGATTAACTACTGGTCTGTAAAGTGAGCTGTTAAGAATGCCGAACTGTTCCTTTTAATATGCTAGAAATGTCTGTATCAACTACGAAGAAGTGAATGAACTTGATAAACTATCGATGAAACTCTCTAATGATTTGCTCAGTCGTCATGATGAAATACTATCTCAGGGTCCCTCAAACTTGCGTTTGTTCAATAGTGATCCCTATTCTGGTGAAAGGTGATTCAACAAGGAATCGCAAAGCAAACCATAAAGCTGGGAGCAAGTTTGGTAAATGTTTATTCTGTGGTCTTGCCTGTAAACTGGCATGCCTCATGTAACAAACTGTTATTTGAGAACAGTGCGACAAAAATTATTGTCTTAATCAAAAACTTCGAATATTAAGATTAAAATTTATTTAAAAGGAAAAGAGAGAAAGAATGACTACCTAGTGAAAGTATTCAACCATTATTCTAAGGGTGTTATTGATATCGGCCTCTGAAGCAAACCATTAATTTTGTTAATTTTTGGTGCACTCGAGTGAATTCATGTATAGTTATGTAATATGATTCAGAGTCAAACTTGTTATAAGCTTGTAACATGGAGTCGAGTCGCGCTTGAATATGAACACCACTACAAGAAGACTACGTGCCAGTTAACCAATATGATCCTTGTAGGCCAAAATCAGAAGGCAGATGATGGCTGTAGTCGAAATGTATTTGTTGGCTATCTCGTGGTATCGAAAGAATACCGAGATCGTGCCAAAGGAGTACAAGCGTAATCGAATTCGTACAAGTTCAAAGTCAACGGGAGAGGGAGTGTAATGCCTGTCACTAGTACAGTTAAACAAACGAGCACAGTAAAACAATCACTGGTACAATTGGTTATAATAATAATTATTTTCATTGAACCAATCGCGTCCTGTTGACAAGAGTAGGTCAGTACAAAGTTATGACAAATCTTCAGTTTTAGAATTAGGTCTGTTATTTTAATAGCAAAGATAAATGGACTAATACCGAATTAGATCATGATTTTAGATAGGTGAGGTCAACTAAAAAACGTACCCGGTTATTCTCAATCTCCTAATTTTGTCACCAAATCCCCGAAATCCCCCCAGATCAAGAGGAATTCTACAAATTTTCCACAGAATCTTATTACGCTTGGGGGAAATCAACATATATTTATTAATATAACCCCAACATTTTTCACAATTTTGCTTTTTTTTCCAAAATCGCACCATAATCTTATTATAGTTTTTGCAAACTCGTTTTAACGCAATACTTCTCAACAAATGTTTACAGATATCACAGAAAAGCCAGGCGAGAATAAATACCTACAGCTTTTACTGCGATATTCCATTATTTTCAGTCAATTACGCAATGCCAAAGAAACTTAACGTTAATCAATCTATCGCTGTAATTAAAAGACTGATTCGTGACACATTGAAATGTTTGTTACGGTTGTGGAAATATGCATGACAAGCTTATTTTGTAAATAGTTTTTGATGTTATTTGTATTTGTTCTGTCAATTTTTCACTGCCTGTACATTTATCAAATAATGATTATACGTGTTGTTTAAGTGTATGATCTTTCTTCCGTCGTGTTACACTCAGCATGACACACGTTGCCTACTAACAAATACTCTGATATACACGCACTTCTTGTTCTCCATTTGCTCGTGATTGTGTTAACTGTACTCTAAACCAAATACCGTCTACATTAATAGACTATAACCAAATTATATCGTGTTATATGTTTGGTTATATCACTGGAAGGACATCAATCTTACTGGAATCTTCAATCATCTCTAATTGTGGATTTTGGTACCAAACTCAACCGGAACACGCACAAACCTGCTGAATTAAGTAACGTCTCTAATTTTTGTTGTGTTTATAACGTTTAACTGATATATATTAACATTACTGTTTGAACTTAATAACTGTTATCATTTTTGAGTTTATATATTATTTGGTACTCCACACGGTTTAGAAAATTACAAACCATTGATTAATACATCATTTCATCATTACTTTGTAACGTAAGCACGTTTTGTAGACTTTGAACTATCATTCACGATGTTCTACAAAAATAAAAAATTCTGTAGTTTATAAGCAACTCTCATGATATGTAAAACGTCGATAACCAACCAATAGTATAACAATGTTGTTAATAATGTGAGTGAAGATGACACAGGTATTAGGAGTTTGACAACGCTTTAACCAGCAACACCTAATATGAAGCGTATCCGCCAGGTGAAACCAAAAGAGAGGATCGAGGAGGTTCGAAGATATATTTGATAAGCTATCAATATATCGAGGATCGTCTGAACTAATCTGGCTAGTGATTGAAGGAGATGTTGAGCACGGCGTTCCCACTTGTGATCTGGTGCGGATGCATGACCGAGCGCCTTCAGCTAGATGAGTCCACTAAAACCAATGTGGTCAGCATCCAATGTCGAAAACTTACAGAGCTATTTACTTTGGGGATTTATTTACCGCTACAGGAGCGAAACTTACAGTTACGTCTGTTAAAACTTGCGAAGCCAGCTGAAACTAAGATGGACAAGGATAAATTTTTTACTGACAAGAAAAAGTTGTTTCAGTATTAAAACAGCAATATG